CAGATAAAATATGCTTCTTTACATATATTACACGCAGATTTCAGTTTCATGCCATGCAATATTTTTGAGATGAATTACAGAAGTCTGAAATCAGTATGTAACATTTTAATAAAAAAAATAATCACGAAGATTTGATTTTAATTAATGTATTTTTTTTTTCTTAAGATTGCCATGGTAATCACAGCATTTCTGATTTTTCAAATTCAAATGAAATTTTCTTAATAAACAACAGATCCTATTCGATACGATTAAATCAGAATCACTGTAAATATTAAGTGTAAGTATATAAGTTTTTAAAAATAACAAATACGTTTTATCTATAAATCTATTCTTTCTGATTATAATTATAAAATATAAGTTTATTTTTATAAATTATAATAATATAATATAATATATTATACTGTAATATTGTTAGTTCGTATATTTATGTTATAATTTTATATTTATTATATAATAATTTTATATTAAATTCGATATTAATTATATACTTTCTACAATTCACAATATTGTCGTATTTCGAAGGAAAATTATTAAATACATACATTTTAAGTGCGGTGGTAAACTCTCCCAATGGTAAACTCTCTCGGGTCAATATTATGTTTACCTGAATGAAATGTGCGAACTCTCCCGAGTTATTTTAAATGTTATTGCTACTCTATGAATTGGCTACACTGCAGAGATTGTGATTATAATTTTTATTATGAATTGTATAACTGTATTTATTTTRTGCTAACACAGGTTAGTATTTGTTTTTTTATTTGTCATTTAAATATTTAATTACCGTTGGAGTATTTTTAATTAAAATATTTAAAACAATATCGACTATAATGGCTCGACCAATTCTAACTGTGTAAAACGAATTATTCCCCATGCTCCCCAGCTAGATTAGTAGTACTGAAGTTGACCCGGGAGAGTTTACATGTTCTTTTCAGGTACCTAGTACTGAACTAGACCCGGAAGAGCTTACATGTCCCGTCAGGTAGTATTGGACTAAACCCGGGAGAGTTTATCATCGGGAGAGTTTACAATCGCCCCATTTTAATTGGTGGTTTCTGTAAGATTTAAGACTTAGTTGATATTTAGAGGGTTAAAAGTAAAAATGTATCAATAATTTTCTGAAAAATTAAAAATGGATAAAACAGAATAATTTAAATATCAATGAAACACTGACTTATTTTAATATTGATTATATTCTTTTTTATTTTGGTACAAAATCACATTTGAAAAATTATTTATTAATCAAAAAACCATAATACTTTAAATTTTAGGATTAAAAAATTAAACATACCATCATTTTCCTCAAATCTGTTATAACAGTTATTTAAAATTATTGAACATMATTAGATTACATTTTATCAAAATTGGATATTTTAACTTAAAATAATGCCGTTTTCTCTAATGATTAAAGTTATTATTTCGTTTTAATTAAAAAATATCAATCGAACAAGCTTAAACATTTCACTATAATACTTTTTTTTTATGCAAAATTGAATTTTAAAACCATATATAATCTTATTTTAAACTTTTTATCATTCAAAATGTATCTTGKGGAAAAAATTCTTGAAAACCTTATACAAAATGTAGTTTTCACATGTACATTTTCATATATTAGATAACATTTTACCAAAAAAGCTCTACCTATCCTGTACTATCTTCATCACCCGTACGCGGACCTTTGTTTGCTAACGCACATTAAAGAAAAAACAAAAAAATTTTAATGATATAGGTAATTAATATACATTATAATATTAATAAAATGATTTTGGCTTAAACATCATAAATGAAATAATTTTATATCATATAGCATAATATCAAATATTTTTGTAAGCTAAATTGTACTAAGAAGAATATATAATATATATATATTATCAATTAATAAACACTGTTCAGAATTATTTTTAATGTAGATATAAAGATTCTATTGAAATTATCTATTACAGATATCTACTAAATGACGAAGTGCACTATAAATCTATTATACAGCAGATCAAGTAGAGCTTTTAGGTTATCTTAGTAGCAGGTAGGTTAAAAGTTAAAAATATATATTATAATTCAGTAATGATGGATTAACGATTGCTAATTAAAAACAAAAAATTTCAAAAATTTCTTTATAATAAATGAACCTATACAAGTATAAAGTATTACTTTAATAAACTTAACAGATTGTATAGATATAAAACTGGTTCGAAAATATTGACGAAAAACTACAGTAGGCTTAGCAAGAATAATTTCACTGCTTAGTGAAACCAAAGTAATTACGTTACAAATTAATGTAAAAAAGATTACAAATGACGAGACTAACTTGATCAAATAAAAATAAAAATTAATTTCATAATGAATTCTTAATTATTTACGGTTATAAATTATTATTTAGTGTATTATATGGTATCAACTAAAAAAAATTGTATTCATTAGCTCACAGTTCTAAAATCGTCATTATGAAAATATCAATTTTTTTAACGTTTAAAATATTTTTATCTCAATAACTTATATTATTGAGAGTCCTGATTAGGAATACAAATAATGTTTTTTTTTATAATTTGTATGTAACAAATACTCGTATTCATTAAAACTTAAGTAGTTACTTGTAGAATATATAAAGTAAAAAAAAAAAATCATTTTTATAATAGTATCATTTTAAAAGTAAACGTATATATTGTTTCCATATTCAACATCAGAGAACAAATAATGATAATAACTTTAATATGATAATTATTTTTATTATAATAATCAATTTTTTTTCTATAATATAATACCTAGGTATTTTAAAAGTTTAATAAACAGATTAAATGCTTCTTAAGTACTGTGTAATCTTTTATTTTTTATATAGGGCCACTCTATAAACTGTTTGGTTATACGTGACTGTAACTATTCCTGAATAGTTATACAACGTAACGTAGTTATAACTTTGAATTTCAACAATTTTTTGTTTTAATTTAAAAAAAAAAAAAAAAATGATTTTTAAATTAGTATTTATTTCGGTTTTCATTACGTATGCCACTGGACAGAGTACTAAATCAAATTACCAATATAATTTAGACGATCATGTCAAGGTTTGCTCTTATTTTGCTTAAAATGTTATTCTATTTTAAAGTACTTACAATAACACATATTGTTTTTAATAGATATTTCTAGAACCAGCACTTATCAACCAAAATTACACTATGTCGAACTCACGTGGAGGAGGCAATAGTGTTTATTTTACGAATGGTCTACCAAAAAATTTCGATTCGAGAAAAAAATGGCCCAATTGTCCATCAATTGGTTATATTTATAATCAAGGAAACTGTCGTTCGAGTTACGCTATAGCAGCAGCCTCTGCAGTATCTGATAGAATATGTATCCATTCCAATGGAACGAAAAATCCTATAATGTCTGCACAGCATATTATTTCTTGTTGCTATTTGTGTGGACATGGATGTGATGGTGGATCATTATTTGAGTCATGGGACTTTTACAGGAGACATGGATTTGTGTCAGGTGGTGATTATAACTCAAACCAGGTATTATTATACATCAGTTTATAGTTCAATTAATCTAAAGCAAACCATCTGAGTTATAATTAGTCATTACTTCATTAGTCACTCCGCATTATATTCATACAATAATATATAGTGTCAATTTTAAGTTGAAAATTAACAATTCATAAAAGAATATTTGGAATTTAAAAATTAAAATAATCAACGTACAAAACATTAACCTTATATCAATCTTATAAGCTACACTATAGGCTCCGGTTTTAACACATAATATTTACCGTTAAAATTACAATTTTATTTTATAATAAAAAAATTCACCATGATTAAACGAAATAAATTTCTTGTTCCGAACAATTTGACATATTTTACTAATTTTAAACTAAAATGTTTTGGCGTATAATAATAACGCTTTTGTAAATTTAAATTCTGAATGTAAAAACAAACCTATTGGTTTTTTAACCTATATTTTTGTTTTATCAATATATTAAACATTTAGGAGTTAAAATTTAAAAAATAAAACCGTAGAGTTTTAGAATTAAATTAAACATTAAAGTAAATTTTTTATATACTTATCGGGCTAAGTACATTACATTTTTGTTTCATAAAACAATTAATTTAGATATATAGACAACCAAGTTAATTTACATTTTTTTGTGTAACATACTCCAACTATTCTCTTTCATATCTACTTAAATTGTATTGTAATTTTTTTAAAATTTTTTATAATACTATGATTTGATGTAATAGTTTTGGATATCGTATTTTACATTAACTGCCATGTATTGGATATTTATATTTATATTTAAAATATACATAATATTTAMTTATCAAAACTATCTAATAATTTTATTAAAATTGACTTTTAAAGATGAAAACATCTTAAACATCATCATCCAGATGAATTAGAGATAAAATAAATCTAAAATATTAAAATATTAGAAAAAAAAAATATTATTATTACATGTTACAACGTATTACAACTACTTACTTACATGAAGTATCACATACAAGCTTGATAACTCTTGGACCCTTTATAAAAGTTTTTGAACCAACAACCTGAAAATTAATTCTTTTTTCATACTTTCATTCATTCAAAAATAACAGAACCATTATGTAAACATATTTTAATTTTTAGGGTTGTCAACCATATACAATCCCACCATGTAAATTAATAAATGAAAAACCACCTGGGCATAGTTGTACAACATATCACAGAGAAGAAACACCAATATGTGAAAAAAAATGTTATAACCCAACTCACTACACTTCATTAAGAAGCGACATTCATAAGGGTAAATAATATTCTTTCATAATTCAGACGTTTATTATACATGATATTAATACGATCTAATATAGTTTAATTTTTAGATTTTTCATATATTTTCAGTTATGTTTTAGACTTTTAGAGTTTCATTTTTATAATTATAACTAACTAAAATTGGTTTTTTTGTTTTAGATAAAACTCTAAAAGCTAAACATAATAATTAAACATTTATTGATCGCAAAAAAATAACATAATTACTTTTACAAAAACTTTTATTTATAAATCCATTTAAAACAATAGAATAGATACTTATTTTAATAAAAAAAAAAGATTTAAAAAGATGTACAATCACTTGAATATACATTTTAAACTACTATGTATGGTCGATATTAGAATTTTCTTCATTATCAATAAAATAAAAACGAACTATGTACCTTTTTTCTGAAATTTATAGGATTTACATTTCGAACTATTTTATACTATTTTTTATTTTGATATTCAGTGAATTTTAAATATGTTTTCTGTATTTATTTTTTTCATACATACTTACATGTTACAATTGAAACTAATTAAATTTTAAAACCATAATAAACAATAAAAGTACTTATTAAATCTAGATTCACTTTAAACATTTACCTATTTAACTCATGGATTTATCATTCATGTCAAATTTATAATATTATAACAGTAAATATTTCAGATTATATAGCCTTGCTAAATATATAATATCTAGTCAGTTGTCTTTAATATTATTTATGTTCCAACTAGCATATTGCTCGTACTTAAAAATTATTGTTTTTATAATTATAGGTAAGTATTATAAAGTGTCTCCTTACATGGCTATGAAAGAAATTTTTGAAAATGGCCCGATAACAACTCAGTTTTATATGTACAGAGACCTGATTGATTACAAATACGGTATGTGAAAATTATATGTTTTTGTAGTAGTAACTATTTAAATTAAAACACATTTTTTTTTTTAACTTTCAAGGTGTATATCAGTATGACGAGCAGTCAGATGTCGATTTTTTTACTGTACATAGCGTAAAGATTTTCGGTTGGGGTGAAGAAAAAGACAATCCGTACTGGTTGGTAGCCAACTCATTCGGTACGGATTGGGGTTATTATGGAACGTTTAAGATTTCAAGAGGCAATGACGGATGCTTCTTCCAAGAAAAAATGTACGCTGGATTACCATTATAATACATTTATTGTTTATGAATTTATGATTCTGTTATAAAATCACTATCAATTAGTGTTGGACTGTACGATAAATATCATAAAATATACATTTTGATATATGCTTAATACTTACACAACATATTCATTATTATAATATAATATGTACTTATATCAACAATGTATACATAATTTATTATTAAAAATAATAATCATTCAAGTGTTTATACTATTGTCTCCTTGTTGGATAGGTAATGTATTTATCATGTTTAACATGAACATAAAATACATAATACCAAAATAAAAATAAAACCTATCACTTCAAAGACCATGATATACATTTTCTTTAAGTACCTACCATCAAAAACTGTCAATAATTAATAAATATCTAACCATTTTTATTCATAGATAATTGATCCTCAACTCTCGAGATACAAAATAAATTTTAATTTGGTTATTCAAATATTATTTTAATCATATAATAGAATCGTTGTAAAATACTTTAATAGTATAATATATTTAATACCATCACAAAAAACAACAGTAAAGTAGAGTTCCAAAATATATGTACTGAATAACTGCGTTTAAAATATTTTAAAAATTTATTAACTAATAATTAGTAATTAAAACATATTAAATATAATAGTTTCTATATTTAATTTAGAAATAACATTATATTTAAATTAAGAAAAACAAGTTTGCTAATTTAAATTAATTTGCCCAAGCATGATTACAATAGGTAATAGCACAATTTTACTGTTGATGCAAAACACTATTTTTTAGTAATAAAATTTGTTCCAAAAGACAAAAGGCAAAAACAGAAAATTATGTTATTTTTCATAAATATAGGTACTTAATATTTAATACCAATTACATATTAAAATATATTATAATAAAATTAATACCTACAATATATTGTATCTACATCGCTTTTATCATATACATTACAGTTTAAATTGTTTTATTACAGTGCAATTATTTACTATTTAGTGAACGTATTAATTGTATACCTATAATATACATAAAAAAATCTAAATATAAAGCCACGAAAATTGCTACCGCTCAGAGAATCAGTGCACACTCATATACACGGACTCACTCGGTAAAAAAAAAAACCATATGAACAAAAATATTGAAYATACTATTTAAAATCAAAAAAGACATTAAGTTTGTCTGGATTCCTAAACACAATAATATTAATGGCAATAAAATAAATCAATCTTTCGTTAGTGACCCCATAACTTGAAGATGGGGCTGAACTGGTTTGACTAATTTTTTTTCAGATTTTGTAAAGAAATATTTTAACAGAGATAGAATATTAGAAAAGTTGACCGAAAAATTGGTAAATTTCGGAAAAGCTGAAAAGCCTTTTTCATATGGATTTTTCTATAAATTGGTTTTTGCTTATAAGTTTTTGTTAAATTACATATTAGTATAATACTAATATAGTAATAGTAAAAATTTTAATGTTTTTTCTATGTATATAAATAATTCCCATCGATATTATATTAATGCGAAAATCACTCACTGGCTTTATACGAAATCTCCAAAACTACTTGAGCTATGAGACTAAAATTTTATTCATAGGGAGTTTATAAATATGAGGCGTCAGCTAAGTATTTCTTTTTGAAAATGCAAAATAGGAGTGTGTGGTTATTATTTATTTCTTTAAACAACTATATCTGAAGTTCTACCGAATAGATTGGCATGATTTTTATTTTAAACGCCGGTATGTAAATAAGCCATTTACTAATAAAAATTAAAATAATTAGTTAATTATATAAAAATTTTAAAACTAATAATGCAACAGTGGAGATACCAAAAGAAAATTTAAAAACTAGTCGTGCCATTTTTCCAGTTAAATAAATACACATTAAACACCCTCTATGTCTCGAGAAATCTATCTATATAACATTTATTGAAAAAAATCCTGTATTATCTTTTGTTATCAAACAAACAATAACATCCATTTGTATGTGTATCATATATGTAGATGTCGTAGGCCATTTGGCAAATTAGTCTTTTTGCGAAAAGACTAGGCTCTTTGAAATGGGGTAGCCCGTTTGCGAACTACTTTTTTTTCCCCATTTTGCCTGCTGTTTTTCAGGTTTATTGCATACGAACTAACAGCGTTTTAAGAACTACAATCATTATAATATGATAATGGCCATTTTACTTATTTTACATGTGAAGTTTAGTTTATTGAACTTAGAATATTGACTCAAACTATACTTCCAACAATATCCGACGCTGTTTCTGAAATACCCAGCCACTAAAATACAAGGAACCAAAAAAAAACAGTGAGCAGGGCAAGAACAATATAGGCTGATTAAAAAATATGATATTATGGAAGTGGGTGACTTAAAATATTTAGTAAAAAAAATCAAAATAATTATAGTGAGGTAATTGTTCAATTAGTAGCATGCGAGAATGTTCACATACGTCATTGATATAGTTTATAAGTTGGAGGTTATAGTTTGAGTCAGTATTCTAAACTCAACGAACTAAACTTCACATGTAAAATAAGTAAAATGGTCATTATCATATTATAATGATTGTAGTTCTTAAAACGCTGTTAGTTCGTATGCAATAAACCTGAAAAACAGCAGGCCAAATGGGAAAAAAAAGTAGTTCGCAAACGGACTACCCCATTGCAAAGAGCCTAGTCTTTTCGCAAAAAGACCAATTTTCCAAATGGTCTACGATATAGATATACACTAAAATTCTCTAATTTCTTATTTATTTATAATTATGCTATCTACCTAATACTTATTATTTTAATTTTCTGTGGAATTTCTCAAGTTCCTTGATTTTATGAAAAGGATTACAGACGAGTATAGATTACGATATACCATTGAATATAAATCTCTTATAGTACATATACCTTAATCTACCTTGTCGTTATATTAAGTATAGCAGTTTTTTTAGTATGATTCTGTATGGGTAAAAATAAAATGTATTAATTATATATATATATATTTTTTTTAACAGTCTTATAATCCCGTTCTTACCTACTGTTTTTTAAATTTTTTTATTGTCTATTATCTGACTACATAGGTTATTAGCTTTAACAAAAGTAATACATTTTTACATTATTATATGTTATTGAACAGTTCAATTTTTTTTTAAGATATAAAATTATGATTTGGTAGTTAGAAAATAGTCGACCAATCGCTTCATACAGATTGTCAGGGATATTGAAGTCTTTCCTAGCTTTATTGAAGTTCGAGCAGTGGACGATTATATATTTGATGGAATAGTTTTCATTGTATGTTGGACATGGAGGTGGATCAAGGTGTCCATGTGTGAATTTTGTGTTGCCTATTCTAAGTCGATTAAGACTACTATTATTATAGTATGGTAGATGGTAGAAAACTGTAGACCTCTCTATCAATATCTCCAAGGGTTATTTAAAATACAAAATAGGTTACATAATGGTTAACATAAAATATGCACAACACAGCTTCTATGAATATAATGTAATGTATGACTTATACAATTTGAAATTCAAAAAAGCGGGAAAGTGGATGTCCCTCTGCTGTACAGTAGGTTACTAGTGGTTTACTGTAATGGATGGAATTAAATTTGAATCCAATGATATTATATTATTGTATACGAATAACGATTCTGAGTGAAGACAGTTAAAATAATTTGCGAATTTTCGTGATTTTTACGTATGTTGTAAAAATTAAAATTTGAATAATTGTAAAAAAAAATTGTGAATTTGTATTTCTTTTATTTTTCAACTACTATTGTAAAAATATGTTAGGAGCCTTGTATTAAATTTTCAAATCTTAGAATTCAAAAAAAAAACTTTTATAAATTTCTATCTAAGATAATTGGAACATTGCTGTAATTTTTACGTATTTTGTCAAAATTTGAACTTTAAATRCTTATAAAAAAAAATCGTGCCTACGTATTTTTAATTTTTATTAACTGCTATTGTTACAATGTGTTAGAAGCCTTGTATTAAATTTTCAAGCTTTTCTACCGAACAAATAATTTTTTATCGATATTTATAGGAAAAAAAAC